AGTGAAAAAAGAGGAGAAAATGGGATGTTTGTCTCAATGAGGTGAAAGTGAGAAAAAGAGTGGAAAATTGGAGATATTCAGAGAAATTTCAGGAAAAAAATGAGGAAAATTGAGGTTTTCAGGTGGAAGCGAGTTAAAAACTGAGAAAAAATGTGAAGTATTGAGGTGGAAGAGAGAAAAATTAAGAGGCGAATTGAAATATTGAAGTGGAAGTGAGAAAAGTATCAGAAAATTAGAGATATTCAGGAAGAAGTGAGAAAAATTAGAGCGAAAAAATGAAATATGGAGGTGGGAGTGAGAAAGATTAGAGGCAAAAATTCGGGTGGAAGTGAGAAAAATAGGTGAAAATACGAGATACTCAGAGAAAATTGAGAAAAATTAGAGGAAAATTTGAGATATTCGGGGAGATGTGAGAATATTGGGGGGAAAGTGGCTCTTTTCAGTGAAAAGTTGGGGGAAAAGTCATGGTTTTGAAGAAAGGTTGTGGGAAAAACAAAGCCCTTATTCTGTGCAAAATGAGGGGGGAAAAGTCCTTGTTTTGGGCAAAAAGTTTTGGGGGAAATAAAGTCCTTGTTTTGAGCAAGAAGTTGGGGGAGATTTCCTTGTTTGTGGCAAAAAGTTTTGGGGGAAAGTCCTTATTTTGGGGAAAACGTTGAGGAATGTAGGGCCTTGTTGTAAGTAAATACTTTGGGGAACTTGAGTTTCCATGAAATTTCTGATACACACCAAAATTGCTCATTTTTTTCCCCCCAAAAAAACGCAGCAAAAAATCCTCATCCATCAGAGCTTTGTGCTTTTCCTTACTCGCAAAGCTGAAAATCAGTCTGAAATTACCAGAAAGGATGAAAATATACAATTCCAAGGGAGGGATTTGGTCTTCATTCAGGAGCGGTGCGGCGGATTTAGAACCATTTTCCCACTTTCTGTTCTATCGCACGTGGGTCCATCACAGCTGTAATACGGCGCACAAACACACGTAGCTCATTATGGTAATTAGTCACATTTCCATCCCAACCCCTCTGCTTAGTCATCCCATAACAAAATATGATGAAAAGTGAGCGCTCGGCGGCGGCTGAATCACTCAAATAACTCAGATTTTGGGAAAACGGTGCTTTGCATAATTATTTGTCAATTACTCCTCCTTCTTGTGGATAGGCAGAGCCCCATAGACAGGAATCCCATAGAGTGCTCCCAAATGGGGTTTCTCATTGGGGACCAATAGTTCCCAACCAGTGGTTGGGTTGAAGGGACTTTAAGGATCCTGCCACGATTGGGTTGGAAGTGATCTTAAAGATCGTAAAATCATGAAATCCTGAAGAGGTTGGGTAGGAAAAGCTCCTAAAGGTCTTGGTACCATGGGATCCTACAGTGGTTGGGTTGGAGGGCCCTTTAGGTTATAGGTCCATGAAATTCTACAGTAGTTAGGTTGGGAGGGATCTTAAAGATCATAGAACAGAGGGATCCTGGGTTGGAGAGACCTTCAGGGTCATAAAACCTTGGGATCCTACAATGGTTGGGTTGGAGGGACCTTCAGGGTCATAGAA